ATGGTGGTCTGATGTCATGGCAAATTTCTGTTTCTGGGAGTTTCCTTTTCCTTGTTCTTCATTTATTATCTTTTAAAGGGCTTGTACCTAATGAATATGTTGTCATGAACTGTTTTATTTGGTGTTGTAGATGTTGTATGATACTTTATTTTATGTTTAATGGATGATAAGTATAGTTATGTTTATTATTGTTTTGTTAAGTATTTTAATCTTATGCCTTAGCACTGTAAGAGCTTTTGAGAGATTACTTGGTGTCTTGACATAATATTCCTATTTTTTGTAAGAGCTATTGAGAGATAACCATTTTCTAGGAGTTGATACCTAATATCAAGATAGTTATGTTAAATCTACATGAACAAGGGAACTAATCTAGGATGGTGAGGTTCTAATCCTCCTTAGAGATAAGAAGAGGGATTCAAGCGACTAAAAGGGATAATACTCAATCGATATGATAGGGTCACTATTTACACTAAGAGGTATTGTCGTGGCGATAGTTGTATCAGGTTCCTTACTAGAGATGGCCTAGGAACACTTTAGTAAATCCTGTCGGGCAACATAGACATAGTGTATTTAGATCATCCTAGGAATAGAATAATTTCTCGTCATAGAAAATCTAACCCAAGTGCTCCGTTAGAAGTCTGATTGTGTGAGGTTGTTAGTTTATATTTAGAACTCAAACATTTTTAGCCTCAGCAACTTTTATTTACTTACTCTTGCAATTAATTTTTTCCTTAGCAATTTTTATTTGTTTACTCTTTCATATTTTTCTTGTCGCAACAAAATTTATTTGCTCATTTTACTTCACACAATTCTTGCCTCAGCAAACTTTTTTTTCTATCTATTCATACAATCTGCCATAACACATTTTCTCATTTGTTTATATCATTAGATTTAGGCATTAGGGATTAGTTAGTGACACATTTTCATAGATGTAGCAATCTTTAAAGAATTTCCCTAATCCCTGTTGAGACAATACTAACTCAATACTATATTACTTGCATCGATTGTGTATACTTGCACAGATTTGCGTGCTACATCATACACATTTACACACGATCACTACTAAGCCTTCCATTTAAGTATATCTTCTTGCAGGTACTTGCTCATTCACTAGATCCACAATCAAGCAATCAAGGGGTACTCTACCCTACATCATTAAGTATTTAAATCTTATAAGTTGATTAAGTAGATAGATTTTAATTCATATTGATGAAATATATATATATAAATAGATGTAGTATTAACTTGAAAAGATATGATATTAATACGAAAAGGTAGATCTTTTCTATAAAAATTAGACCCTCTTATGTTATATTTCACATTAGTATTTATATTTATATTTTATTTAAATACAATAATAACTGTGTTTAACAATATTAAGTGTTTAAATGTTATTGGCTAATTAGAGAGAGATTTTGATTCATATTGGTAGAATGCATATATGAAGAACTATAATATTAACATAAAAATATAATATTAATATAAAGATATATATTTTTTTAATGAAACTCATGGGCCTCATTAAAAACCCCTTCTAAACCTAGTAAAGGGAAAAGAGTGCCCAAATTATATTAATCAAAGATCAATGACATCATTTTTAACATTCTGAACAATGATGTCGGGACAAACCGACTCAAAAAACAAAGAACCACCCGAATTTAAAGCCCAGCTGGCTAATGCATGAGCAACCTGATTACACTCTCTAGGAGTATACAAAATACAAAAAAGAGGATGATCTTGAAAAATAGTACGAGCCTCTTGAGCATACACCCCGAGGGTGGAAATATCTGTAGAAGTTCGTGTAATCTTATGGACGAGCATCAAGGAATCAATTTCAAACTGAACATCAAACCATCTCATATTACAAGCCATTCTAAGACCAGTGAGTAAAGCATATAGTTCCGCAAAACCCGCCTCAAAACATCCAACAGAAGACTGAGCCAAACCACCACAAACATGTCCACACTTATCACGAGTAACAACTCCAATTGCAGATAGTCGGCGCTCCGCAATAATGGCACCATCACCATTCACTTTGATAACTCCCTCCAAAGGTGGAGTCCATCGTATAGCAGTATTTGTAGACCATTATTTATTCATCCCCACACTAATAGCCCTTAAATAGTCTTGATGCAATATCTTTGCATTAGTCACCAAGAGCCACGCCGGTTGCAACCTGTCAGAATGAACAAAGGAGTTTCGATTATTCCAGACATTCCACAGAATTATCAAAAAACCAGCAAAAGCATCAATTCCTAGAATAGAGAATACTTCCTCCATCCATAATAAAGGACTATCCATAGTACTTAAAAATATAAAAGGAGGAAGATATGCTAAACGTAAAGTCTCCAAAGTTACAGGACCTTCCTCATGGCATGTATAATCGTCTCCTCCCCATTAGAACACATAAGACAAATTCCATAACCAAAACCAACACTTTTAAGCCGACTACCCACAGGCAATGCATTCCGGGCAACCCGCCAAGCAAACACACGTATCTTAGGAAGAATTTTCAATTTAGCCATAACTGACCACAATTTAGACTCTCTTATTATCATGATGTCATTTCTGTAACCACCAATAACCAGATCTAACTGAGTAGATACCCGAATCATGGTTAGCCCAAACAATAACATCTTCAGCACAAGGTGCAATAGAAACTGAAAGAATCTGCATAGCATATTCCTTAGAAAACAACCTATAAATCAAAGATTATTTCCAAACATTAGAACCATCAATCATAAGATCAGAACAATAAAGAGGATTAAGATCAGAGTTAGAATAACTCCCTATGAGAGAAACAACTTTTAAACCACCCCATATATCATGGTGAACCTATTTATTAATTCGTATACCAATACGCCAAAAAAGACCCCCACACATCTATTGCAATGTATGGTATAATCCTTTCCAAGCATATGAACTTCTATCCTTTAGAGTAGCATGCAACAGATCTCCATGGGAAAATATTTAGCACGAAATACTCGAGCCACCAAACTCTATGGATCCTTAATAAAGAACCATAATTGTTTGCCTAATAAAGCCAAATTAAAACTATGCAAGTCCCGAAATCCCATCCCACATTCTCTTTTGGGTTTGCACATTGTTTTCTAAGCAACCATTAGTCAACCACTCCTATTAGCATCACCTGACCACCAGTAACGCCTCATATTACTCACCAAATCCTGAACTAAACAATTAGGAAGTCGATAGCAAGACATAATATATCGTGGAAGAACTTGGGCTACAACTTTAAGAAATACCTCACGACCTCCAAATGAAAGAAGATGTTTCTTCCACCCGTTAATTCTATTAGAAACCTTTTCTTTCAAATAACCAAATGTATTTGTCTTATTCTTTCCAATGTGAAGAGGCATACCAAGGTAGTGTCCCAAATCAAACACTTCGCCAATACCCAAGATACTCGAAATCTGATCACGACATTCTTGTCTCGTACTTGGACTAAAATATAATGTCGATTTCTCAAGATTCACCTTTTGATCATAAGCAGCTTCATAGGCACCAAAAGCATCGCGAATAATAGAAGCCTCCTGTAAAGAGTTCTTAATTAAGATAAGGCTATTTTCAGCAAAAAATAAATGAGTTACTTTAGGCCCATTCTGACTTGCCCCCATTCCACGAATCTTCCTTTGAGCCTACAAACAGTTAAATAGAGCGAATAACCCCTGAGTGCAAAAAAGAAATAAAAATAGAGATAAAGGATCGCCTTGTCGTAACCCTCGATTTGGCCTAAACTCTTTAGTGAGACTACCATTGATATGAACAGAGAAAGAGATGATTTCCACACATATCATAATAAGATTAACCCAATCAGCACAAAAACCTAGCTTTAACATAATCTTTATCAGAAAAGACCATCCCACTCTATCGTACGCTTTCTCCATATCCAATTTAATAGCAGCACCCTTATTCGGACCATTTTTTAAAGAGTTCATATAATGAATAAGCTCATGTGCCACCAATATGTTATCCGAGATTTGGCGTCCAAGAAGAAAGACAACTTGTGTTTCATGAATGCAACTCGCCATAAGCCCCTTAAATCATCGAACCAGAACCTTGGAAACAATTTTATAAACTACAGTACAAAGACTGATTGGGCGAAGATGCTTAATCTGTTGAGGATCGTATATTTTTGGAATAAGAACAATCACTATCTTATTAACCAAACTCATTCTAACGTACCTTGTAACAATTGTAAGCACAAATGGACCACATATGCCCCAACAATATCCCAATGCAATCGATAGAAACTCGCTGGAAGGCCATCAATGCACAAGTGCCTTCCGCGGATGAATATCACGAAAAGCTGCAATGATTTCATCAGTAGTAAAATCAGCACAAAGCGCACCATTCATTTAATCAGTAATGACCGTATCAATATATATATATGTTAACATAAAAAGATGTCGTGCTATTATGAAAATATAATTTTTTTTATGTAAATTAAATAACCATTCTATCTTTAAGAGGTATAAAAAATTATTTTCCGTTAAAAAATCAAATATTAAGAGGTTAAATTAGATAGATGAAACTCTTCTAAATTGATTCTTTCTCATATAATTTTTTCTAAAACTAATTAAATAAACCAAAATAATTTTCTATTATTTAGTTTAATATGTAAAATCACAATATTCTAAAATCTAAAAATTAGTATGCTATTGCTATCTTGATCGTAAATGAGCTTGAAGACGACAAAAATGGTGTCAGCCTCAAATAATCAAACTCCGAATTAAAATTTTTGTTTTGTGAAAAATAAAAAGAAAGAAAATTCTTGTTGACTGACACGTAAACATTGGATTTAACGCGTGCCGGATACAAGTACTCCAATCGGCTTTCGTACGAGTCAGCATCATCATCCAATCACCTATTGGTGTGTTCATCGTAAATCACGTGCGTCCTCCAACAACACCTCCAGTCCATAATTTTCATTTATAAAGAAAAAAAATGAAATGAAATTATACATTTCTTTCCATTTTCCTTTTTCTTTCTTCCAGAAGACAAATAAAGAGGGAACAAATTCGTGTTTCTCGTTCTTCGCCTTCTTTAATACGTATTTCTTTCGGTAAAAAAAAAAACGAAGTAGAAAAATGTCTACATCTTTGCCGCTCTCGTTTTGCAGGTTGAAGGGCACATCCACGGCCACTAGGGCTCCATTTCTCTCATCACTCAAATGTTCTTCTCTTCCTTCTTCCATTTCTTTTTCTTTGATTCCGTTTCAGCCGCTCCAGCTCTTTCGATCTGCTTCGAAAACATCATCCAGGAGTTTCTCATGCGTGTTTTTCTCCTCGAAAACTAAGGCAATGGCTGAGCTCGTCCAAGATAAGGAAGAATCCGGTGTGCCCGACGCCGCTTGTAGTGGAGGCGGAAGGCTGCCGGAGGAGCATTCCCGTACCTTTCTTGAAGCTCGCTCCGAGCAAGGTTCGTTTCCTTTTGATTTTACTTGAAATATTGTGTATATCTGTGTTTATTTGTTTAACCAAATGAATTTAAATAAACTATGGTAATACTTCTGCTTCGTGTTACTCTTTTCCCCGAAGAAAAAGAAATAGGTATTATATAAATTATTACGTCTTCTTCTTCGTCTTCTTCCTTTCCTTTCCTCACAGGGAAAAAGGATTGGCTACAGAAAATGCTAAAATAAAGAATTGCTATTGGATAATTTGGTTATGATTTTATATGCTAGTCAATTGCTGCTTCATTTTTTAAAACAGAAGGGGAAAGAAGAAAAACTAAATTGCTTACATCACAGTAATTGCCTTTAAGAGAAGGTCGTTTTATTATTTACTGAACCCTTTAATATTATCAGGGGCGCTCTCTACCACTGAGCTAATAGCCCGTCGTGAAAATTGCAGGTTTCCTTTTTTTTACAAACAATATTTCTTGTTTTATTCATCCTTTGTTACATTGAAAGAAGAGATTTAAAAAAAAAAGGTTCCGTGCCTAATCATTTTCATGGCTTTCTAAGAAGCTTGGGTTAAAATAGTTCTGCTTAATTTCTTACACCTAAATGCACAAGTATCTGTGAAATGAATAATTACACTTTGAAAGCGCTTACTGCAAAAACTGTCCCTGTTTAAGAGTATTTATTTAGAATGGATGTAGCTACTGTAGAAATAAAGTTCGCTGGGATCTGTTATTGATAAGAGCATCAACATCATGAATTGATCAGGATCATTTTCAAGGATTAGAACGGCTTATTTAGTGAATTTGTGCTGACTTAAAACGTACATCTATATTGACACTGATCAAGAATGAGGAAGCTATCTCCTCTATATTGAAATTTATTGAATAATATTTTGATGGTTCCAAAAAAGTAAGGTGTGTTTGGTTTTTTGAGGAGCATAAAAAGATGGAGACAGTTGGGGAAATGGGGGCTGTTGGACACTGTCAGACAATTGAAAGGTTTGGTTGACTGAAAGAAAAAGTGATCAGAAAATAAATGAACTGCATTTCTCACTTTGAAGTTTGAATATATCCTGTTGTTTTCTTTCAACTACAGCCTCTTGTAGTCCCACTAATTAAATTAGGGGACTGATTTTACTCTCATGTAACTTATTTGACCACAGAACTCATATCTGGGATTAGGAAGGAAGTAGAAGCGAAAAGACTACCCCCAAATGTTGCAGCAGGAATGGAAGAACTTTATCAGAATTATAGAAATGCGGTGAACTAATATATTTGATCTCTTTACTTCATTAGATACTAATTGAATTCTAGATATGATATGTTCTCCTCTGCATGTACTATGTTAGTTTTGGTTGCAGCATCAATCTTCCCTTTACGTGTCATTTTATCCTTTGTGTCATTATTAAGCTGAGTCATATTTTAGCAAATCTACTGTCATATGTTTTTAACTCTCTGTATTTTTATACTATATGTATGATTTATACTTTAATGCCGTATCTTCACTTCAAAATCAGAGTATTCAGGTTTGAACTGCATGGGTTTAATAGGTTATCATCTAATGATTGCAATGTTTGGGCCAACCTTATTACTCGATGGAAGCCTTTTACCTGTACCTCCGAAAAGTTAAGAGAATATCTTTTGCATGTGGCAACAATTAGGTTTTCCAAAGTGGAGATCCTGCAGCTGCTGAGATTGTGCTGTCTAACATGGCTGTTGCATTTGACCGTGTACTTTTGGAATTGGAGGTAATTCTTCTAAATTTCTCTTTCAAGATGACTCTGCAGTTTGTAACACATATGAACTTCCATTTCCAGGTATTGCGTACCAATTAAGAGTTTTATAAAGTTCTGCATGAAATATGACAGTAATTTTTCAGGATCCTTTTGTCTTTGAACCCTACCACAAAGCATTGCGAGAGCCATTTGACTACTATATGTTTGGTCAAAATTATATCCGGCCTTTGGTTGATTTCAGGTGATTTACTCGTTTCAATTTAGTTTGCAGAAAGTTCCCTCGAAAATTCAAAATGTGCTTTGATGGATGGAATTTGTAGTTTTTCAATTCCATAACCCTATTAAGTAAACCAAGGTATTATATTTTAAGGTTAGTGGATAGGACATCTAATTATTAGCTACCTTTTTAGACCATCTAAGACTAAGCTTGTTGTATGATTCTTATTTTTTGCATTCTCTTGGTGGTTATTTAATAATTTACATGGGGTTTCTTGATCAAGGATTGATTATTGTATTGAAAAAAAGTAATAACGCATTTGAAATCACAGAGGGCTCCTTAATATTCATAGGGTCTCAGATAGTTTTTCTTTTTTTCATGTTTTAGTTGTTTATCACCTACTATATTGATAACAATGCCAAGAAAGAGAAGCATGCATTATGTATACTTTACTCTCTTTGCTGTTCCAGCACCATCTTATTTCACTTGTCTTATAGGTCCTTATTTTACTTCAATTGTTGTCAACTACCTCATTATTGCACTGCTAGTATTTCGTTTGCTTCATATGAATATTTTGTCATCACCTCAATTCACATATGGTCTTATTGTTTTTTTAGTACTCTTGACATCTCTCTGTTACATTCATTGCAGAAATTCATACCTTGGCAATCTTTATTTCTTCAATGAAATAGAAGAAAAGCTTAAGCAGGTGCTAGTGCTCACTTTTCCCCTTTTCCTAGACTCTTCTGAGCGTGACTGAGTATTGCAAAATTATTTTTTTTTCCACAAAGCTGTGGTTAGATGTTCTATCATTTCTACATTTGAAAAGACAGTAAAAGATCATAAGTTTATCCATCACTAAGCTTCTTGGCTGTGGATGGAAATCTTTGTTCTGGCTATAACACTTAAGTGTTCTTTGTTTAATAACTACTGAAAACATGTATCCGAGAAACAAAAATTCCTGTAATTTCTTATTTTTCATACAAGGAATTTTTGTGGTATTTTTTTTTCAGTTCTAAAAGTAGTTGTACTAAGTTTTCAGTGTATAGGATATTTTTTACATTCAACTTTAGCTTGGGAAGTGTGTAATACTGGCTAAATCTTTTATATACCTGGCTTTTATGTATATAATTGTTCTCAATTGGTTTCAGGGTCATAATGTTGTACTCATATCCAACCATCAGTCTGAAGCTGACCCAGCCATCATTGCTTTGTTGCTTGAGAAAACAAATCCGTTTATTGCTGAGAACATGGTGATTATTGATTTTACATTCTGAGTTGGAGGTGGTGGCCATTGTCAATGCACTTGATCATAACTTATATTCTATTTTGCAGATCTATGTTGCAGGGGATAGAGTAATAACAGATCCTCTTTGTAAGCCTTTCAGCATGGGAAGGTACTCAATAAGTTACTACCTGTTTTGAATCAATTATTTCAAAATGTACTAAAGAGTCACTTACAAAGAAGGTTTTACTATTTCCTTTTAGGAATCTAATATGTGTGTACTCCAAAAAACACATGTATGATGTTCCTGAGCATGTTGAGATGAAAAGAAGAGAAAACACAAGAAGTTTGAAAGAGATGGCTTTGCTGCTAAGGTGCCTTAATGACCATTGTCATACTTTTAGAATGAAAACTTGCATTAACATGCCTGAATCTGCACCATGGTGTTTCACTATAAATTTCTATCCTTAGACCAAAGTTCTTTTCCAAACAGGGATGGCTCTAAAATAGTGTGGATTGCACCAAGTGGTGGCAGGGACCGCCCAGATTCCCTTACAGAAGAATGTCATCCAGTTAGTTTTTGCAGTCGTCCTCTTTAACTGGGTTTTCTATTTTCTTCAAGAATTTATTTGGTTTCTTATTTCAATTTTATCTTGCAATAAAGAATTGTGGGTACAATCCTCAAAATGGGCGAAAGCTGCTTTAATTAGCATAGAGTCGAATCCAGAACATATAATCACTTAAGAAGGGTATCCATTTGGATTCGAAAACAAATGTTAATAGCTTGAGTAGAAGATAAAATCACAGATTCTTGTTCTAAACTTTTAGCTTGATGGCCATTTAGAGAGATGTTTATGAGAGAAAACTGGAAAAACATGTCTTAGTCTTCCACTGAGTTTATGGTTGAAGATAGAAAATCAGAGATTCTGTTCTATACTTGTAATTTCATGGCCATATAGAGAGAGGTTTGCAGGAAAAGGACTGGAGAGCCATACATATGTCTTAGTCTCCCACTGAGTTTACATTAGAATAAATAAATACATAAAGACTAGTATTCCCTTTGCGCTCATGTCTGATTTATCACGAGTCATTAGAAATTATTTCTTGTTGGGGAAAGGAATCTGACATTATCTGGATTTGTTGCTTGCGAACATAGTAAGTGCAAAATTAGTTCAATGAGGTTAATCAACATTAATAGACTTTTTCTTTCATCCCTTTTGTGCTTTATTAATGATTTCGCATGTTATCCTTCAAGATGTCTTAAGGAGGTCAGATCTTTAGGTTTTGTACATATATGTGATTGGCATGTGATGCCGTAGGTACAAAATAAAGGAATAGCGTGTATTGGCATGTTCAAGATTTTTCATTGTTAATTACAGAAGTGTAGATAACTAAGAATACCATGCATTGGGAGATATTTATGATACACAACACAAAAAAGGTAATTGTGGGATTAACTTGAGATTTTATTTTGATACTCGTATTTATAGGGCTAATTGCAGTATCTTATAAACCTAAGGTTTACATTTATATTAGGTTTTAGTATACTGGCTTAGTTTCCTTAGCCTATTAAGTTTTGTTTTCAAGTCAAGTATTTTCTTTAGGTTGCATTTGGACACCCACCATGTAATTTGATTAGGGTGTAATTGGAGACCACCAATTAGGGGTGAGATTGGGTTGACTTGGTCTGGTTTTTGAAATTTTTAAATCGAACATGATAATTCAATTTGGCTCGATTTGGCTCGGTTACTTTATCAGTTTTTTCATATTAATTTTAGGTTTCGACTTTTTAGACCTCATTTTGAAAAAATGACTTTGTTATATGGTTTTTGGACGTTATTTGATAAAGTTTCAATGTCTTTTTTCATAAGTATTTATATAAAAAAAATAATTTTCAGTTAAATTAATTAATTATAGTATTTAAAATCATTTTCACTATTCTAAATATAAATACTCATTTCTACCTTATAAAATAACTAAAATTAAATTAAAAAATAGAACTCGATTTGATTAGAGTAACTGCAGATTTTAAATCTGCGTTTCATAAACTGTCTAAATACTGTGTTTCCAGTCGGGTTTTGATTTACTCTCTTTGTTCACTCCTATTCTCAATTATAATATTCAATTCTTGAGGTGAGAGGTGAGAGGTGAGAATTAGTATAAAGTACACAGGTTACATTCTTCAGTTTTCTATGAATATTAGTAGTAGTAGTAGTTCACAAGTTCAGATTTTATTGTTAGTAGGATTATAATAAATAACAATAGCGTACACTTTTCTTATCTTACTACATCATCTTTATATATATATAACACTTTTAACTTTTTTTATATACACTTGAAGTACTTATATATATATATATATATATATTTTGTTTTCCTTACAATATCAACTTACAATTCATTATTATTACTGCTACACGTTAGAGTTTTATAATATATATTATATTTTATATATCCATGTTTATAAACCCCTTTTTCAACATAGTGAATATTTAATTAAATCTTTAAAATATATTTTTAGGGTTGAAGGTTATTTTTGCAATGATTAGTATTATTTAGAATTTAAACTTTTATATTTGTGTAATTTTGTGTAATTATAATTTGTAAAACCAACCAATTGGTTTGGAGAGATTGTGGCACTAGATCCCTCAAACAACGTCTAAGGTTTCAGTCCTAACATTGTGAATAGAGTAAACCGGATTGGGAGGGTAACCTCCATAATAGGCCTCTAAAGTACTTGATTCAGATTAGACGGTGAATTTAAGTCAGATACCAGTGGTTATACCAAAAAATAGTACTGATTTTTGAAACCAAACATGACATGTATGTGATAGTTACATTTTAAGACAAACCATTACTACGAGAATTTCCTATTATTGTTGTTATTAGGGTTGTGTAAGGTAAGGCTACCTACTCTTTAATTTTTTATATGCTTTATCTTGGAACATTATAACGGCACAAGCAGGGGTTAAAGATTGCCGTGTGTGGTGTATCAAATAATTTTCCATCATGAAATTAGCCAGCCAAATAACAACTTATAAGGAGAAAAGAGTATGTACTTCACCACAATTAATCCTTGGTGCTTTAAGTTGGACTTCTTTGCAACCCTTATAATCATAACTGAAGTAACAACCATAAACCCTAGTTATGATGCTTAGGTTTTCTTTCTTGGTTGGATGATGCGATGAAGGAAGCTTAGGTTATCTTTTACATCTGTTACCCTAGATATTTATCCTGTTCTCCTCGGAATTTTAGAATTTTATTATCGTTGAGCCCTGGCCCCCTAATTTGTCCTTAGTTTATACAAGTAGTCATTGTTGTGCATAAATTCGTCTTTATTAGACCCTCAAAAGGATATGAACCTTTTTGGCTGCAAATATGTGTCACCTTTTTTTAAAGAAAAGCATGTGTTTATGCGTACTAATATAAGGAGTGTTAGGAACCCTTTGATTCTTCTTCAGTAGACAATATGAGAAGGCTCATAAGACACTCAGGTGGAGCAGGGCATATATATCCCTTGGCTCTATTGTGCTACGACATCATGCCCCCTCCACCCAAGGTGTGTATTTGCCTGTCAGTTTCTCTTATGTAAAACTTCTCTCTTTTGTGACTCAACGACATTTTCCAGGTTGAAAAGGAAATTGGAGAAAAAAGAATCATTGCTTTTCATGGGGTTGGATTGTCAGTGGCGCAAAAAATCTGCCCCCTGGAAACTGCTGCTGCTTGTAAAAATTCTGAAGAGGTCAGTTATGTTCATATACACTTAGTTTCTGGTTCTTTACCGCATTCCGGATATAAAAATAAGGGAGAAAATTAATGTATTTTGGCTGTTGCATGATAAGCATCTGATCGATGCAAGAGTGTAAGATTTAACTTCCATCTCTATGATTTTCACACAAGCTTCATCATTTTATCATAGATGATCAACACACTTGCAGATGAGTGTAACATCAATGCTTCATGTTGGCAAAAATGATTACCTCAAATTTTATTTGGATATGAGCCATAACAACTATTTGCATAATTTCTATGCTCCAAAAAGCACTAGATGATAACTTTCTATAAACATCATGTATGTATGTGCTTGATCTCTTTAGTACGAATTGGCTTTTAAATTTGCACAGGCTAAAGGTGCATACGCACAAGCACTGCATAGATCTGTGACTGAGCAATACAATGTCCTCAAACGCGCCATACATGGCAAACAAGGGTTAGAGGCAACAACCGCAGGTGTCTTTCTGTCGCAGCCACGGATCTAGTCAAAACCTGGTAATAGGTACTGGCTTAATTTTTCTGGTGTATCAAGTGCACAGTTATGCTTTTGTAGTGTTGGGATGAACACCTTCTAATGTCATATGTTAATTCAATTGGGTTTTGATTTGCTGCATGCCAGGTCATTTTTCGATGCTTTAATTTTTGACTCGTTAACAAGAAAGGCATCAGATACGTAGGCAGAAGAATGTCCTGCAAGATGAACCATGTTTGCTTATTGATACCCACAGTAGAGCACCTTTTAGGGGAGCTGAATCCATCGGAAACTGAAGCTATTCCAAGAGTGTGCTTCAGGTTCGCTCTGTACAGGTCTTACTTCGTTGAGAGACTCAAACTTGTAGCCTATAGCCAATTCTTAACTGTGAATATGATACATTCAAATTTGGTTCATAACATCATATTTTCGAGTTAAAAGATCCAATAATTTGCTTGGAAACTTTTAGGAGCAGTGTTCTAGCAAGTAGCAACCAAATTGTCGTAATCGTTTTTCGGTTGGGTCCCGGAATTGGGTTTCGACTTGAATTAAACGATTAGGAGTTGCCACCGATCATGTATTTTAAAACAAATGGGTTGATCGGATACCTTATTTCTTACTTGATCTGCGTTTTACCAGAAATATGTCGGGTTCGGGAGTCGGTTACGGTCAATGAAGGATTAGCACCCTTGAATCGCCCTTTTGATACTAATTAATTTGTCGGTTGTCTTTAATTGTGAAAATTGAAAAATTTAAATTCAAATTTAAAACATTCGATTCGAACTATTTACCTTTGGTGACTCTTCGCCGTACTGCCGCCGCTTCCGGCCACCGCTGGCATTGGTCGGAAAAATCTAAACACACCCAAATGTTCTCTTCACCTCCCTCAACAACAATCCGAAGCTAAAATTTACAAAAATGGCCCCAAACAGTGTAAGATCTATAGCATAAGTTTCAGATTTTTATACCTCGTCGGCGTCCCTTTGGTTTTTCGAGGCCTTCGGCTTTGTGGTTGGTTCTTCGATATTTCGTGTGGCTGGGTCTTTTGTGTTGATGGTTCTGTGTGGTTGTATCTTTGTTTTTGGTTTGTGGTTCTTTGGTGTATATCTGTTGGTTCATCGGTTTTGTTTGGTTTATTGTTTTGTGGCTTCCCTCGGTATACTGTTGTTGGCGGTTGTGGTTTTTTGTTGGTCGTGTGTTGGCTCTGTATGTTCTCGGTGATACTTGATGCTCGTGGGGTCCCCCCTCTGCTGGTCACCGGGGTATTTATACCCTGCTCGGTGAACCAGTACCCCGGGTTGTTCTGTTTGGGGGCGTTGCTATTGAAATCCCGGGATGTTTCAGTCCCGAGATCCTCGGCCGACGTCTGGCCGTTTCGCGTGACCCTTGACCTTGTTGTGCGACACCTTGATTTTAGGACTTTCAAACCCTAAACATCATCTGGTTACTGGATCGTTTCATAGTACTTTTGGACTGTTTCAGGCCCGGTTATCTTGGACCTTATTTTAGACCCTGGAAAAAAAATAAATGGATAAGAAATAATAATAAATAATAGTAATAAATAATAATAAATAATTAATTATTTAAAAAAAATATATATAATATTTTTTTAAAAAAACTACATATTATATATAAATTTCCAAAAATGATTTTTAAAAGACTATAATTTTCAAAAATACTTTTTTAAAAATTATATGATTTTCAAAAATTATATATTATATAAGTTTTCAAAAATATTTTTTTAAAACTATATATTATATAAATTTCAAAAAATGTTTTTTAAAAATTATATATTATAGAAGTTTTTCAAAAATGATTTTAAAAATTATATATTATATATATTTTCTTAAAATATTTTAAAAATTATATATTATACAGTTTTCAAGTGTTTTAAAAATCATATTATATATATATTTTTAAAATATTTTTAGAAACTATATATTATATACGTATTTTCAAATTATTTGTAAACTATAATATATATATATATATTAAAAAGAATGGAAGAAAATTAGTGTTACACAAATCAAATAAAGAAAAGATAGTACCTCAAAACACAGTTTTAGAAAAAGGAAAATGTGATTATTGAATAGGAAAGAGAACAGACCTCACATGTAGACTGTAAAAGGAAAATGTGATTGTTGAATAGGAAAGAGAACGGAGCTCACATGTAGACTGTACGCTTTGTTTGTAGACAGTATAAGCAGTAGAGCATGGTATTACTAGTAAATAGTAGCGGTACTATTTATTTTTGTAGCTGGCTATCATAGGGTCACCTCACGTGAGTGCTGAAATAAGAATGGATATGTGTCGATGCATGGATAGATCTAAATCCATTGGTGCTGGTGAAAGCTACATATATTTTGATGTTTATCTCTTGTTGTACATATAGAAGGACATAAGATTTTATATTAAGAGATTATATTAAGAAGATTTTATATTAAGAGATTTATATTAATAGATGAATTTTTGAAATTTTTAAAGTTTTAAGGAGTGAAGATAAATTATTAATAAAAAATATAAAAAGTTAAAAATATATTAATATTAAGAGATGAATTTTTAAAATTTTTAAAATTTTAAAGAGTGAAGATAAATTATTAATATAAATATTAAAAAAATAAAAATATATAATAATTTTAAATCTTTAGGGAAGTGAATAATATTCACATGCTCCCACTGCATCTTCGTATTTGTTGAAAACTAAATAAAATAAAATACAATGCACGACAATGTTTTCTTTTCCTTCCCACTGTTGAATGCTTTGCCAAATTAATGTAATGAACTGTAAAAATATAAGAAAGAAACATTGATAGAATACAAAACAAGTGCATGCATTCCTTCCTTTATGTATAATTTGATTAATGTTTTGCAGTCGCGGGGTTTTGTAATCATCATATTTTTTTAGATGTTAGATGTTCTATTTTTGTATTGAGAAAATCGCCTCAGTGACCAAAAAAAAGTTATAATATACGATTTTAACCAACTTTTTTTGGATTTGCCAAAATGACCAACAAAATCGCAACGCGAAATAAAAATCGCAACGCGATCCCCAGAATCGCAAATCAGTTTCCAAAATCGCAACGCGATTCTTGAAAATCGCAATGCGATAGTACAAATTCGCATTGCGATTTTCCAAAATCGCAACGCGAATATGAAAATCGCAACGCGAACACATAAATCGCAACGCGTATCCGTAAATCGCAACGCGTATCCGTAAATCGCAACGCGTATGGGTAAATCGCAATGCGTATCCGTATATCGCAACGCGTATCCGTAAATCGCAACGAGAATCTGTAAATCGCAACGATAATCCGTAAATCGCAACGAGAATCTGTAAATCGCAACGATAATCCGTAAATCGCAACGAGAATCTGTAAATCACAACACTGAAATTTTGGGTATATAACACTGAAATCATAAACTAAATCCCTAAATCGCAACTCATTCCATCTCCATCTATCACTCTCTTCGGCGACATCCGTTCCTATATCCAACGACATCCTTCCCAATCCGGCAACAGGTTTTAGTTTCGCAGCTCGTCTGTTTAGTAAATTAATTTACAACCATGAAATCATCTAATGTTGATCATGTTTGGATAGATTTGTGTTTTGGAGGGTCATGGGATAATGTTCATGGTGTTTTACAATATATGCCTTTACCCATGAATCTTCAACTAAAATTGTCTTTACAAAAGTTAACTTATGAAACTCTAATGCTACGTGTTTCAAATAAATTGAATTTAGAGCCCCTAAGTGGATTTAGGCTATCTTATCAGAGAAATGGTAAAGTTTATTTGTTAACCGACAATGAAGATGTTGAACGATTCATTGCTTACATTAGTGTTTCACAAGATGATGTTACATTGTATGTTGTTGAACCTAGAAGTAGTATTGTTGGGTCAGTAGCGGGTAGTAATCAACTAAGTTTTTCTCAAAACCCACAACCTTTCTCTAATCCAAATCCCAATCAACTTTCAGCACCAAATTCCGGTTTTCGTATTGACCAGTTAGACGATGATGAGCCAACAGAAAAAATTGTGAGTACTAGTCAGTATTCGAATTTGGTCTTGGTCAATATCCGGACTTTGATATTGGTCAATACACGGATTTTGATGATGTTTCAGAAGAAGAAACAGACCATGTGTGTAATGATTTTCATATTGGTCAATACCCGAATTTTGATGATGAAACACCCGTTGCCGAGGAAGATGTTGTTGATGATAATGAGGAGGAAGTTACGACTGTGAATGAACATGTTGAACATCCATTCTGTAATTCATATAATCCTGAAGAAGAAAAAGAAGAAGAAAAAGTCCCCGAAGAAAAGAAATGCCACGGGAGTATAACTGGAATATGCCAGAATTACTTCAGTTACCGGAAGAAGAGTTGGCAAAGAAAGCAGTTGATTGTTACACAAAAGTTATTCGTGTCAAGAAAGATGATTGTTTTGATACAAAGGAAGACTTGAAGATAGCTTTGTATACGAAATGTGTGGAAGATGGCTATCAACTAAAAGTTAACAAATCAAGCAAAGATCGTTTCGAAACAAGGTGTATGATTGACAAAAACTGTACGTGGCGTATGATTGCAAAGAGAATAAAAGATTGCAAAATGTTTCAAGTTAGGACTTTTATTGATAAACATACATGTTCAAGAACCCAAGTTTTTCCTCACCATAGACAGGCAAACAAAAAGGTGTTGGGTGGTTTTCTGGCTGAGTTAATGTTTTTGAATGGCAGGGTATATCGGGGACATGAAATTATGACTGACATGAATGCTCGGTTCAAGATTAGTATATCATATTCTCAAGCTTGGAGAGCCAAATGTTATGCCTTGGAATTGTTGAGGGGGTCGCCAGAAGCATCGTTTGCCCAACTGCCGGCTTATTGTCACAATTTAAAGCTGAAAAATCCTGGGTCGGTAACTCATATCAAAACAGATAGAGATGGACGCTTTGAGTTGCTGTTTATCGCCATTGGTGCTACGGTTAGTAAATCAATATAATTTTGTTGACTCATTTTTGTTAGTTACATGCATTTCACATTTAAATGATTATATTTCTTGTGTATATTATTTTGTAGATTCGTTCGTTTATTACTTGCATGCGCCCAGTTATTATAGTTGACGGAGCACATTTGAAAGGTCGATACCTTGGAGTAAACTTATTAGCAGTAGCCATGGATGCTAACAATGGGATATTGCCAATAGCTTACGGGGTTGGCAAATCTGAAACCTCTGATTCATGGACATGGTTTATGGGGCATCTTAGGGATTGCATAGGTCCTATTAGCAATCTGACAATCATATCCGATAGGGCAAACTCAATTGACAACGCTGTTAGAAGGTGTTTCCCAGATGCTTTTCATGGACTTTGTGGTGTTCATTTGTATAGAAATCTAAAATCAAGGTCTGCTGGT